TATTATTAAATACTATATAATAAAATATATGACACATTAATCATTAAAAAAATTGAAGCAGCATCCTTCATGTCAAATATAGTTTCTAACTTAATATTTTTTTTTTTTACTTGTGTTTAATTATTTGGCATGTATGTTAATGATCACCCTCTCTTGTTGTATGTGTGTTTTGTGACAGCTAAACCTGGGGGCCGGGTGAGGTGTCAGTACTTCCCAGCCGTGGATAAGGTGCTGTTTGTGGACGATTACGCTGTTGGCTGTAGGAAGGACTTGAATGGGATCCTTCTTTTGGACACTGCTCTCCAGGCTCCTGTGTCCAAGCCAGAAGACATGGTGCAGCTGGAGCTGCCTGTTACTGAGGTATGCATTTTTTTTATATATATTGAGTTATATATATATGATATTAGGGGTGTGAACCTACACTGGTCTCACGGTTCGGTTCGGTTACGATTATCATGTCATCGATTCGGTTCAATTCGATATCACGATGCATCACAATGCATTGACGATGCACTGCATTCTCAATTTTTAATTTTACTTCACATGTATACAATTTTGTCAATAAATACAAGCAGTCAGATATATGAACTGTACCTGACGTGGTTTCTCAAGTTAGTCGTATTACCCTCGGCATATTTTATTGTGCATGACATGATTTACACACAGCGTGTGTCTTCTTCAGGTCGTGCTTACCAGGTTGTTCATAAAAGCTGAAATGTGCCCAGATGTCGGCTTTTAAAGTAGTTGGAGCATTTTTAATTACTCGCACTCGCGTCTCGCCTCCCTCCGCCATTAGGCGCGTTCAATTTGAAGCGGCGCTGCACAGTATGATCGGTGTATGACATAACCCGCGAGAGCGATTCGTAAGCATAAGGATTCGTCTGCTCTCTTATCGCTCTTGCGGTACTTGATGTCATACACTGATCATTCTGCGCAGTGGCGCTTCAAGCTGAACGCAACAAATAATGTCATAAAAGCGTCAATACGTTATAAACTGTTATGGTCTATTACTGAACTGATACCGAATCGTCCTCGTCTGCATCGCGATGCATCGTAGAAACGATTCATTCCGACACCCCTGGAATGTATACAGTATATTCTTTATTTAATATTGGGCTTTGCCTTGATATATCAGTGAGTTGCTATGCATTACCCGGCCACTGTCAGTAAATAGTTGATGTAGTTGTGGGGTGCAAACCTAAACAATGATGCTTCCAGTGAACAATGAAACTGCACAGAATCATTTTCTTTAGGGTCCGCAATCGTGTTTAACAGGCGGGTGAAATAATTATAATGCTGAAGGTGAGGTACTCACTAGTGCTGTGTTCAAAATATCGATACAATATGACGATATATCGTCACAGAGATTTGACGATACGAGTATCGATACAGCTGGCCCTGTATCGATATTGTGGCACGTGTGCAGCAGTGGACCATGCTTAATTTGTTAAACATTTTACAACGTTTAAAATTGAGTAGAAAAGTGCGAGAATTCTAAAAAAGAATGAATAGAGCATATATAGGCTACAACAAGGTTTAATCTGGCTGCAGAGGAACACAACTGGGTTGCCTGATATAAAGAGACGTAATCCCCAAAATAGAGCTTTACACTTGTGCAATACGGAAATATCTGCCAAGTGTGTTACTTATCTTTGTCAACCTGGCAACCATGTGTACGCGCGCTCTCTCCGGAATTGTCACTTGCACAGTCGAGGCAGTGTCACATCGTCACTAAAGTATATAAATTGCATTTCTTTTAAATTCTTGCCAGTGTTTAACCATTCAGCGCTTGCGCACTTCTCCTGGAGACCGTACGCTCATGCACACTCGCAGCGCACACACATAACGCCAGGTTCAAATTACTCTGTTTGCAGTGCATACATAGTGCATATTTTTTTCCGTGCTCATGTTAATGGATTAAAGTGTTCACTGCACACAGTTGCGGTCCGGCAGTGCATTCAGTAGCGGTGCGTCTGCAGCAGTGCAGAGATTGTTTCCAGTCTATGTTTGCTGTGCTGCAAGCGCTGAATTAAAGTAACAGGGCATTGTTTGCAGTAAATATGAACATGGATTGACACGAAAATGTAGTAATTACACCATAAACCATAAATGTTAAAGTCTACTGTGTTTCACAGTCAACACATATGGCTTTTTGGCTAGGTTTAAAGGGAAAAGGGAAACTTTTAGATAAACAAGGCAATAATAGATGGCACTCGTGGAGGTAGACAAACAAAGTTC